CTGCTGTGAGAGGTTCCTGGTGTGTCTCTGCAGAACTTGGGGGTTCCTTTTCTAATGCATGCACCAGGCCGGGAGCCACAGACCTGTTCTGTTCTCTGCTGGTTCTGTCTCACACAAGCAAGGGCAGAGGGGGCTCTGCGGCCAGAGCTAAAGCTGGTTCCTCTTGCTCCCCCAGGATAACCTCTCTTGCCGAATCACAGCTACAGACCCGGCAGCAGATCAAGAAGCTGGAAGAGCTGCAGCAGAAAGTGTCCTACAAGGGTGACCCCATTGTCCAACACCGGCCCATGCTGGAGGAGCGGATCGTGGACCTGTTCAGGAACCTGATGAAAAGGTGCTGGGGGAGCCCTGGGCAGTCCTTGCTCACAGGCACTGGCTGGATCAGGCCTGAGGGTTGACTCTGGTTCTTCTGCAGTGCTTTCGTTGTGGAGAGGCAGCCCTGCATGCCCATGCACCCCGACCGGCCCCTGGTCATCAAAACCGGGGTGCAGTTCACCACCAAAGTCAGGTGGGTGCCCTGTGGCAGGGAAAGGTGGTGTGAAGGGTGGTGCTGCTGCTGGGGACACCGGTGCTGCCCATACAGCAGCTCTGCAGCCTCTGCCAGATGCTGCAGCAAACTGGGGCCATGCACGTGTGTGGGATGCTCACACTCTGCATCTGCTGACCCCGTGCAGGTTGTTGGTCAAGTTCCCAGAGCTGAACTATCAGCTGAAAATCAAAGTCTGCATCGACAAGTGAGTCCTGAGCTCTGATCCTGGTGGTGTTGGGGAGAGTTACTGGAGTGGGACTTGTTCCTGCTGCCCTTGGGTTGGGCTCCATCCCCGCACCAAGTGTGACCCCCAGTAGAAGGGGGGTGTGGGGTGGTGCTGGGTCCTGAGGGCTCATTCCCAAGTCGGGGGACAGCCTGGGGGGCTTGTGGGACCTCCCGTAGTGATGCAGCAGCCTCACACACCAGCTTGTTTGCATCTGTGTGGAAAGGCCATGGCCATGACCCGCATCTCTCTCCCCTTCCCTAGGGACTCTGGGGATGTCGCAGCACTCCGGGGGTAAGTGCAGAGTTTTGGGGTGGTTTTTCTGGCTTCCTGTGGCAAAGCTCGCACTGGCACGTCCCCTCTGGAAGC